GCCGCATGACCAAGGCATGTACCGACTGCAGAAGGGAAGAGAGTATATCCTAGTCATCGTTTACGTCGACGACCTGCTCTACATCGGTTCCACTACCGACATCACCACCTGGTTCGAAGGGGAGCTGAAAGGGGACTTGACACTCACGGTGTCCGACACAGTGACCCAGTACCTGGGTCTGAATGTCGTCGAAGACAACTCGGCGTTCTACCTATACGCTGGAAAGTACGCAGGCGTTGTCGCAAAGAAGTTCGGATTAACACCAACTACAGTCGCGACTCCCTACCGCTATGGGAACAACAACGACACCTCCGAAAAACTCCCCGCGAAGCAAATCCGGGAGTATCAGCAGAAGCTTGGCTGCCTACTATTCGCAGCAGTAACCTGCCGACCTGACCTATCCTACAGCGCAAGCCAGCTGCCGACGCATCTGAAGCAGCCGGAACAAGAAGATCTCGAAGAACTAAACCGGGCACTACTCTACTTCGTCTCTACGCCGACGACCGGACTTACCTACAGCAAAGTAACAACCATCCGTACAACTACTCGGATACGTCGACGCCGACCACGCGGGGGACAGGGAAAATCGACGATCGAGAACGGGCTACATCTACCGACTAGAACCTATCGGGACTATCTCCTGGCAGTCGAGCAAACAGGAACTAATCGCACTATCTTCGGCTGAAGCAGAATATATCGCCCTCTGTACTGCGACCAAGGAAGGACTCTACCTACGAGAGTTGCTCGAGGAAGCGAAGATTGCGACCCTGCCCGTCTTCTCACTCCTCTGCGACAACCAATCTGCGATCAAAATCGCGAACAAGGACGGTTTCGCCAACCGAACCAAGCACATTGCCCTGCGGTACTTTTTCGTCAAAGATGAAATCACGAAGGGGAGACTTCAACTCAGTTACTGCCCTACGACAGAAATGGCCGCAGACTACCTGACGAAGAAACTGGCGAAGGCAAAGTTCGATTACTGCATGCTGCTGACTGGGCAGACAAACGTCACCGGATCTGAACACGTCAGCACTCCAGAAACGAAGGGGAGTGTTGGAAATACCTCAAGGACTTAAGCGTTTCTGAAGTGTAATACCACACTCGAGGAAGATCGTAACGGGTACGCGAGTTAACGGAGGTTACACGAGGGGATGGACAAACAACACGAAAGGACTCGAAGGGTCGCAACTGGAGGTTGCGACTGACAGTTACAACTGCAAAGATGGTAACCAAAGCGACAATCGAGTCGCTGTGCGACTCGATAACCGCCCTTTTTTCAACTGTATTCTACAACTGCTTTACTTTCCTACTTTCTATATATTGATGTATGCTTGTTCTTTTAATCAATCACTTGTTCTCACATACTAGTACAAGGGTTCAACTACTCAACTTCCGCTGCACTACTCAAGTCTTTTACAACTGGACTTAGTCTCTGAAAGATCCTAAGGGCATTTCTCAGCCCAACAAGTGACTAGAAAGATGGGGTACAAGGGATATATGCTAAGGTGTTGAACCCCTCTGAGCATGCACTTATCTAGCCTATAACATATACAAAATATATGTTGACACTCAAATCCACCCTTCTGAGCCTCCTAGCTTGAGCCAGAGAGGCAGGCAACGCCTAAACGCCATTGCAGCATCTCACAATCAGTACTTCCAGCGACTCCATCGCACCCAGGTCCTCTGGCAGCGCTGCCAATCGGTGCATAAACTGAAGTCCCACTCATATCCTGAAATCCACCCTTTTGAGCCTCCGAGCTTGAGCCAGAGAGGCAGGCAACTCTTGAACGCCATCGCAGCATCGCACAATCAGTACTTCCAGCGACTCCATCGCACCCAGGTCCTCTGGCAGCGCTGCCAATCGGTGCATAAACTGAAGTCCCACTCATATCCTGAAATCCACCCTTTTGAGCCTCCGAGCTTGAGCCAGAGAGGCAGGCAACTCTTGAACGCCATCACAGCATCGCACAATCAGTACTTCCAGCGACTCCATCGCACCCAGGTCCTCTGGCAGTGCTGCCAATCCCCCACATCCCGAAACCAAGAGGTAGGTGAGAGACGGTGCGTGGACTAAAGACCCGGGCAGGCTGGTTACCGCCTTGCAGTTGTCCAGAGAGAGCCTTTTTAGCGATGGCAGCTGCCCGAGGTTTGCGGGCAGAGAAGAGATTTTTGGGCAGGTGGAAATAATGAGTTGCTCAAGGGACGGTGACCTGCATAGAGAATCTGGTAGCGTGGTCATTCCCGCACAGCGAGACAGCTCCAGGTAAGAAAGATTTTCCAGCTGACCGAGATCCTTGGGCAGCGAAGAAAGGGCGGTGCAGCTGAAGAGAACGAGATGGGTGAGGGAGGGGAGGAGGAGGTGCAGCGAGGGAGGGAGGTGAGTCAGCTTCTTGCAAAACGCCAGCCTCAATTCCTGCAGCCTTGCCAGCTGGCATGCTGTGATTGGGTCAGGCAAGAGAGAGAAGAGGCCGGAGAATCGACGGACGGAGAGGGTGTGGAGGTTAGAGAGGCGGGAGAAGGAGCGGGGTAGAGATGCGACGGTGGTGTTGCGTGCAAGCTCCATGTGAGTGAGGGAAGAGGGGAGGAGGAGAGGCGGACGGCTGGGATGGGATGCTGGGGTATGGTAAGCAGCAGCAGCAGGAGTGGCAGCAGCATTGGGGGAACCTGCAGCAAAGGCTGCAGGGGGAGAAACTCCGGCAGAGGCCACACTCGGCAGAAGATCTGAAGCAGCAGCACCAGCTGCAGCAGCAGCAGCATCAGCCGCAGCAGCAGCACCAGCAGCATCAGCCGCAGCAGCAGCAGCAGCACCAGCAGAAGAGGCAGCATTAGCAGATGACGTGGCAGCAGGAACAGCCATAGCGCCCATGTCAAGTAACAACTGGTCCAGGCACTCAATGTGATTCAACACAAGGTGCTTCAAACGCGGCTGCTGCAGCAGCAGCCTCGGCACACTTGCGAGGGATTTGCACCCCTTCAATATAAGAACCTCCAGGTTCAGGAGATCTTGTGCTGATGAGGGTACAGTGGTTAGCTTGGCTAGTTTGCAGAGCTCGAGATGGGTCAAGGAGGAGATGTCTCCTAACGCTGCAGGGAGATACTCTATACTGAAGCACTTTTGGAGAGACAGAACCTTCAGGTTGGGCAGTGAGCAGAGGGAGTCCGGAAGCCGGTTGATCTTTAGGCAGTCGGTCAGCCTCAGCTCCTCTAATTTCTGCAGCTGCCCGGTTTCCTCGGGTAGATTCTTGAGCCAATTGCAGATGCTCAGGTCTATGGATCGGATATTCTGGAGGGCGGAGATTGAGGATGGAAGGGCGTCCAGCCAATAGGCATGCCGCAACTCAAGCTTGCGAAGATCGGGCAGCCTGCAGAAAGATTCGGGCACGTCAGTCGAAAACGATCCCCCGGATAGCTTGAAATCTCGCAAAGCTTTCATCCGCCCGAAATTCTGGGGCAGGTCAAACAGATTGGAGCAGTGGGAGACGTCAAGGGTGGTGAGAGCGGGCAGCTGGGTGAGAGATTCGGGCAGCTGAGGAAGACTGGAGCAACAAACCAGGTCCAGCTTCGTCAGGGAGGAAAGCTGCCCGACAGATTCGGGCAGACATAAAAGTTTCCAGCACTGGAGGGATAGCTCCTGTAAGCAGCTTAGAGGGCTCAAATCCTCGGGCAATTCCAACAGGCAGCTGGACTGAATGTGCAGTAAACGAAGGGAAGAGATGACTGTAAGGGAAGACGGCATGATTGTGATTTTATTGATGCATCCGTCCAGGTACACCTCCCTCAGTTGCGACTTGAACGCCTGGAAAAATCCGTTAAGATCTGATTCGGTAATGGACTGATGTGGAGATGTGAGGGGACCGAAGGAGATGGAGGTTAGGCTGGGGCAGGAGAGAGGGAGGTTGGTGAGGAAGCTTCCTTGGTAGGCTTCTAGGCAGTGGGGTGACGTGGCAAGGCCAGTGAGATGCGGGAACTTAGCGAGGGATTTAAGGAGGTAAGTTATTTTACTAGGTCGGTCAAGGCTGATGTAGTTGACTCGGCGACTGCTGCTACTGCTGCTCCTGGAAATACCCTCGTTGCTGCTACTGCTGCTACCGATGCGGCTAACGTTTGCACTTTCACCACCACTCCCGCCGCCACCATGGTTCACAATCTCGCCGCCATTCCCGCTGGTTCCTCTCGAGAGACGATGGGAAAGTTGAAGACAAAGAGGAGCCTGACTCAGAGGAGTTTGTTTTCGGATCGAGTCAAAAGCAGGAGGAGAGGGTTTCTGCGTGATAGATGCGAAGAACGTGCCGGGTAAGGAAGTCTGGATGATATACGCGAGGCGAAGCCATCGCTTGCACACGAGCGAGAGGCGGAAGGGGGGAGAGCCGTTGACGGCAGATAGTCGGAGAATGGAACACAGGAGGTCGTCCGATAAACGGTCGACTGCCGGAGATGCGTCAGCTGACGATAGAAGATCGTTAGGTAGACGGTCGATAGGAGAAGATCCGCCGGTCGATGTCTCGCAAGAATTCTGCATGTCGGCGATTCTAGGGACCGCCGTGCAATGGGCGTGAGCAGTATCCGCTCCTCCGGCTTGTCAACTAGCAATGGTATTTCGGATTTTGCCGTTTCTACACTCCCCTAGCAGATCGGTACGTAAAAGCTGATCGCACAGCAACGACGGCACAGCTGAACTAGTCCAAGTGCGTCTACGTCAGAAAAACGTTTCTGATGTATCCCTAAGGCTAATGGGGCCTATTCTGTACCATGTCGAGTGTGTACCAAGTTTCCTTCCAAGTGTCATGAACTCAAAAAGTTTCTCGGAAATTTTGGCTTGAACGTTTGCAGGCTTGCTAAATGAAAGTGCGACCCTCGCCCGTCAAAATATATATTTACTGTATTTTTGTTACAGGTCAGTTACCCTAAAATATGAACTGAAATCCGTCTTTCCAGTTCACGTATGGGTGCGCAAGATAAACGCGGATGACTTGCCCTTACACGCCCTCCCTGCTTCCTACATTCTGCCAGTTATGCCATGGCTCCTGAGACTTGAGAGAGGGGCGTTACAGAATTCAAATCCCATCCGCCGAACCGTCCAATCGTCGCGGATTTGAAAAGACGAAGGTTATTAGAGCCGCATTGACTGTTGTTTCAGCAGCATTCACGCCGCTAGTATTCGAGCTTTTGACAAGAGGAATCCTGAACGATTTTCCATGATGGCGGCAAACTCGGACCAGCCTCCTCCCTCTATCTCTCGCTCCGCAGCTTTCACGGAAATTCCACTCCCGGTGCCGCCGCTAGCCGTTCTAACTGAAGATCTCTTCCGCGACCTTACAGACCAATTCGCGGCTACTAGACTCACCAGCGAACCGAGAGTCAGGGACGGAAGCACTGATGCGAGGGACGGATCGATAGATGCTGGGGGAAGGAGAGCCAGGGAAGCAAGGGACGGAACCAGTGATGGCCGAGATATGGAGGGAAGGGCAACCCAGGAACCGAAAGGCGTGTCGAGCGGCGAGAGCGAGTCAACGATCAGTGCAGCGACGGCGGCAAGGCTCGGTATGCAGGCTCGAGGACGGGCTCGGTATCAGAGAGTGGATCTGCATGGAGAATCTCTTGTTCTGATTGGTGGTTTGGGTTCCCATAGGTCAGCCAGCCGTTTTGATCTGCACTTCTGTTCCACTGATCTCCCTCCCACAGGCCCGTGTGAGAGGTTTGAATGATTTCCTAAAAAAACCCATCAGCTTGTTTTTGAGAATTCTCAACGATTTCCGGGGGTGATTTTTGAGGCACAAAAAAAAAAAAAACCGCCTAAAAAACCCACTGGTTGAGCTTCAGCTTGTTCTTTAGAATTCTCAAAGATTGTTCCGGGTGTGCATTTCTGTGCCACTGGTCTCCCTTCCTTATGTCGGTTCACAGGCATCCGACTCTGAGGTCTGGCATTTTTTTTCCTCTTGTTTTCGCTCCAAACGCCTCTAATTTTCTCTTCCCTCCCTCCCTTCTCTCTCCCTTACTCCCTCTCCTTCCATCGGCTCCTTGTGCAGTTTCTGATTGCAGCCTGGGATGGTGAGTCTCAAACCCCATCAGTCAGAACACACGCGATTTCTTCAACACACCACACACAACGTGGGATACACACGATCTTTCGCCTCGGACAAAAAAACTCCAAGGCACACACATCCTCTTCGTTACACTTTCGTGTGTTTTGAGTTGACTCAAAACTCCAAGGCACACACATCCTCTTCGTTACACTTTCTGTCAAGCAGTTTCCGTCATAAGTGATGCACTCAGTCAGAATTTATCCATAGCCTTCTCTTTCTTTAATTCGTTATTTAAAAAATTTCCAGAAAATCAGCTTGACCACGTGCATTCCGCCTGCCTTCTCCAGCCCTCCTGCATCTGCTGCATTTCACTTCATCGGTTCCGCTGTTCCCTTTCTCGCTCCCTTCTCCACACTCTTCCAGTCCTTTTTTAACATCGTGTCCTTGTTCACTGGTCAGAACAAAGACTTCATCAGTGTCTTTCTTCTGACCACTCATTTCAACATCGTCTCAGTCTCCCAGCTGGACAAATCCTCTCCTAGTATCTTTCTGAATTCAATCCGTTTTTCCTCGCCCTGCCTTTATGCCATCAGTTTGAGGGTTCTGTTTCAGTCTCAGCTGGGATTTGTCGCCCTTCCCTCCTCTCTGATTAAACCCTTCTCATCCATCTCCCTGCATTGCTCAGTTTGCGGGTTCTATTTCAGTCTCAGCTGGACAAAATCCTTTCCTGGCGTCTTTCTGATCTTTAGCCTTTTTCCTCTCCTTGCCTATATACGATCAGCTTGCGGGTTCTGTTCCAGTCTCAGCTGGACCGAGCCTTGGCCATTTTGGACCATGGCAATGTGACCAAGCTGATCGCGCATCCCAGTGGCAGGAGCGCATTCCTGGTAAGGCTCTCTGCGTGTGAGGGTCTTATCCACATGTCAGCTGGACCGGGCCTTAGCAATCCTGGACCATGGCTGTGTGACGAAGCTGATCGCACATCTCAGTGGCAGATGTGCATTTCAGGTGATAAAATTTATTGCTTAAATGGCTCCAGCTTGATCATTCTTTTTTTGCGAGTAAATTGAATTCCGAGGCATCTCAATCTTCAGCCTGCTCATTTCAGGTAAGAAAACGGTTATATTATTTGTGTTAGCCTGCTCATTTCAGCCTGCCATTCTTGACCTCCTTGCAGGCTCAGAGGAATTCCAGGAGCTGTGTCTTCCACATCTGTCTGCCGCACCACTACCGCCCATTTTTCAGGCACCTAAAAATCTATCCCACTGCTGACCTCCTTGCAGGTTCCCAGAAACCCCAGGAGCTCTGCCTTCCAAATCTGTCTGTCACGCCACTGCTGCCCTTTTTTCAGGCGCCTAAATTATCTATACCCCTGTTGACCTCCTTGCAGGTTCGTGGGAACCCCAGGAGCTCTGCCTTTCACATTTGTCTGCCACACCACTACTGCCCCTGCCAGTCGTTCTTCTATGATGCCGTGTCTCGAAACGAACAGCTCATGGTGCGTGTGATATGGTGTATACTGTAGCGTCTCTGCGCTTTATAAAAAAAACACAGCAAATCCTTGTCCTTTCACGTCCTGCTGCCTCACGCCACTACTGCCTCTGCCAGTCGTTCTTCTACGACACAGTCTCTCCCAGTGAATAGATCATGGTGAGTGGCATTGGGCGTCTTGACGTTCCCTTGATTTCCTCATCGCCTAGTACCACATTCCCTGTATCCCCGATCCATGTCCCCTTGGTGCTCCCCTGTGAAACCACTTGCTCGCTACTCAGTTAGCGGAGTCTCTTGAATGTTTCAATGTATTGAGATGCCTCAAGAGTAAAGCATTTGAATCATTTTTCCCCTTTCCCCCCTTCAATTTCCCTTTTGGCTCCCCAGTGCAAGCACTTGCTCGCCACTCGGATGGCCGAGTCCCTCAAGTGTTACAGTGTTGCTCATGTCAGCGATGGCGCCCTGTGCTTGGCCCTGTCTCAAATGTAACTATCGTGCTGGCATGTGATACTCGGCTGACAGAGCCCCTCAGGTGTTTGGGCGTGTTCCTGCGGCCTCTACCCAGACTCGCCCCTTCCCAAACGCGTGAGCTACTGTACAGAGCAATTTGACGCGAATTGATTCAATGCAGTTCAGTGCAGTGCACCACGAGTCTCGAAATGGGGTGGATGTGGGAAGAGGCTGTAGGAACACGCTCTTACGGTACAACGTTGCGCATGTCAGCCACTGTGCACTGCGCCTTACGTTTTCCGAAATGTAACTTTGATCATGTCACCATGTGTATTGCACTCTGTACATATCGAGTACGGTACTGAACTGAAGGCTCTCAACTCAATGACCCCACCTCCAGCAGCATTGTTTGATGCAAGCACTTCTCAGAGTAGCGAGATGTTTTAGAAAGATGAGTACTGAGTACTTTTACCTAGTGGGTTGTACTCTCTTATGGCATATACCTAAGAGCATGTTCCTGTTGTGATATAATCGATACTTAGCATTTCTGTAAGTCGATTAAGTGTAGTTAGTGTCGAATCAAACTGTAGAAGATAAGTTCGTAGGATGACGTCAGCAAATAGCGCTCGTCATAGGACAGTCGTTTCAGTCACGCGAACAGTCGCACCTCTTCATGATCATCTAGGGCGCATAGCGCGTTAGTGACGAACAGGTACATTAGCGAATAGGTACTTTTCGTAGAACTATAAATACTTGTTAGGTCTTTTCATTATTAACTTTGATTACTCACAAGTTCACGTACTCAGGTCATTCAACCTTGACCTTTACATTTTACAAGACTTCCGTTGTCTTACTAGTCTACCATTCCAGCAAAGATCCTGGACCAACACTTGAGGATTTGCCAAGTGTTCGTGTTTGCAGTTTTATACTTAGTCTACTGCAACACCATACGTTTTATTTCATGGTATGAGAGCTATCTGGAATTAAGACTACCGTCAACTATGACTGGTTCATCACCAGCACCATCTGCTGGATCAGTTACTGGGACTACTGGAGCATATGCCTCCACTACCGCCGCTGGTCTCTCAGCCTCTGGGCACTTTCCACCAGCCTATGCTAATGCAGAATCCGCCTTCTGTGAATACTCCAGGTGCTCCATCGACTACACCTACAGCGCAACAGCAACAATCACAAACAACAGCACAGCAACAAGCGTCGGTACATCCACCAGTTTCAACGCAATCGATTTCATATGCGTTCAGTGGAATGAGCCTTGTCGGCTCAAGTTACATGCGTGGAGCTACAGCTCCAAGTACTGGTTCGTTCGCTTTCTCACCTTTCGTACAGCAGCCGCAGTCGCAACAGTTTCAGCATCCTTTCTATATCTTCGGTCGTTCCCCTACTCAGCAACAACAACAGCAGTATCAGCAACCACAGCAAGTACAGCAACAGCAACAGCAATAACAGCAGCAGCAATAACAACAACAACAACAACAACAACAACAACAACAACAACAACAACAACAACAACAACAACAACAACAACAACAACAACAACAACAACAACAACAACAACAACAGCAGCAGCAGCAACAACAACAACAACAACAACAACAACAACAACAACAACAACAACAACAACAACAACAACAACAACAACAACAACAACAACAACAGTACCTTTTAATGGTGTTGACTTCTACTCCTGGAGCTTTGTGTTTGAACTTTTGGCGCAGTCCGCTGGGCTATGGCCGTTCTTCACTGGCGAATTTACGTATCCTGTCGTGGGAACACAACTGGAGCAGCAGAGTTTCTTGCACGCCTCTCTGTGGGCGTATACAGTTCTTGTACGGAACTTGTCGCCGAAGGAGCAGCTCGGCGTTCGATCATTTCACTCACGTTTCACACCATCTGAAACGGGTATACATGGCAAAGGATACGATAACAGTGAGTAAAATACTTTCGCAGTTAACAAGTGTGCAGATGATGACAAGTGAGAACGTCATGGACTACGTTAACTGTGTCCGTACACTACGAGATCAACTGGAGAAAAGTGGGGGATACTTCCCTCGTGAGATGTATCTCACGGTACTTCTGGCTGGTCTTGGACCCGAATGGCGACAGACGCGCGCCTTCCTGCGCATGAATCCCAATCTCTCCGAAGCCGAAATTTCTTCTTATCTTCAAGCAGAGCAGCAAGATCTTGACCTGCAATCACAACGAAATCAGAAAAAGGGACTTCATTTAAGTTTTTACTCCAATCCAGAACAACAGCATCGACATCCACCAAAGTATCCATTCTGCCACTTTTGTAAGAAACCAGGACATACTTACCAAAACTGTCGCAGCCGTCATCAACCTCGTTGCAATACTTCGCAGCCGTATCACCGATCGCAGCCGTTACCGAAGACACAACAGCCACATCAGCAGTTAACGTCTCAGCAGCAGCAGATGCCGAAACCGTCGCAGAATTTATCAATGTCGCAGCATCGCCCGCCGGTCTTCGCATCTGCCACATCAGGAAAAGGGGTTTTTGGTTGTGTTACAACAGTTGATATTTCAGAAACAGATTTCGAGACACGACTTGAAGAAACCACAAGTTCTGAAGGCATTCCTTTACCTCAAGTTTACGCTAACCTCGCTCGAATAATTTCAGGTCCGAATACCTGGTATCTCGACAGTTGCTGCGGTTGGCACATGTGCTCAGCAGAAACAAGCTTCATCACCAATCAACGTCCAATTCGTCGTTCGATACCTGTAACAGTCGCAAACGGACAAACTATTATGGCACGAGCAGTTGGAAGTGTCATGCTCGAATCTATCGACACGGGATACTCACTTCATGTTACTAATGTTCTTATCGTCGCCGGTCTTGGCTTCAATCTTCTTTCCACGGCTCAACTCCTGGCACACAAAATCCGCACACAGGGCAATTGTGACACAATGGATCAGGAGCTCTGGCACAGTTTGACGAATACTTATCTTGGTCGTGCCGCCACTCAACATGGCGTATCCGTTCTTCAGTTCGCAGCACAGGGAACTTTTGGTCCCTGGGATCACCCAGAAGAAACAGATTATCAACACGTGGACATTGATTTTCGAGCAACTACTGTACCAACAGCTTCTCGAACAGCAGCCGCCGTACTTACCGCGTTGGATACCTGGGAGTTCAATACCGCCGATGAAAGTGCCACTGCATGGCGAACGTTTTATAATACCCGTGCAGCCTTCCAAGGAACTCCAGCACCACTTTGGGGAGAGATAAGAGGTCTTGCAGCTGATGAACCTGACGTTGTTGAAGAAGCCGAACAGGAAGAAGTAGCTGAGCAGCCGAGTCCAACAGTAGCTGTCGCCGAAATACCTGCCACGACATCGACAGAAGCAGTGTCAAAAGTTATACTCGCAACTTCAGCAGCACCAACAAATGTCACGTTACCTCTTAACCATTTCGTCGACGAAGAAATTGACAAGTCACAAGCGCTTTCTCCTTTCATTCTTTCTTCTTTTTATACTAACGCGATTTCTACCTGCGATCATCAGGACACAAAGCAACAGAAGATATATGGCATCAGCGGTTAGGACATCCATCACAAGGGATTCTTAATCATTCAATCCGAGCAGCAGTTCTTGATAAAAATAGTTTACTTTTACCTGATGGCACGGAGATGAAGCCGCAGTCTCGTCCGACGGTTTGCACCACTTGTCCAGTTGCCAACCTTACGCACGATCCGTTTCCCAGTCATTTTCCTGGCTCAACACGTTATAAACTGATGCAGAAAGTCTACAGCGACATACTCAACTTATCTGAAGCAGGACCTAAAGACGAGAAGTATGTGATAACTTTCATCGAAGCGTCTACACACTATGTCTGGACAGCAAACTTACCCGCGCGGCATCTCGCTCACTCCGTCTTCGTCGCGTGGCTCGCTGTCGCTGAACGAGAGTCCAACGTGAAACTACAAGAATTTCAGAGTGATGGTGCAGGGGAGTACACCAGCAACACCTTCACAGAGTATCTTCAGACACTCGGCATCAAACAGAAGCAGTCACTGCCTCATGCACACCAACAAATGGGGGTAGCAGAAAGGATGAACAGAACTCTGCAGGAGAAGATGCGTGCTCTGCTGAAGCAGGCAGCCCTTCCACGGCATTTTTGGCCGTATGCGATGGATCACGCAGTGCTGGTACACAATCTTCTTTCCTCAACGTCCCTGCCCGAGTTCTCCTCTCCACACCTGCAGTGGACACGTACAGTCGGTAGCACAAAACTTTTACGAGTTTTCGGGTGTGTTGTACAGTTTCGTCCTCCAACCGCAGCACTCGGAAAATTTTCCGAACGAGCAAAATGGGGGTACATCTCGGCATCGAAAAACAGTATCACGCGTGGAAGATTTCGGATCTCCGCTCCAATCAAGTCGTTCCATCACGTGATTGTCTTTTCTATGAAAGACTCACCTTGCCCGTTTTTCGTGCCCACCAGGCAGCAGCTGCCAATCCTGCCAGGCTGTTCGAAGGCTCTCGTGCATTTGCAACTAACGAAGCCGAAGCTGATGTACAGGACGAGGATGTTTCTGAAGCTTCCGAAGCTGCCGCAACAGACATTCCCGAACCTGTCACCTCAACCGGCATACCTGAATTCATTCCTCTTGCAAATGCTGACCAGGATGATGTTCGCGAAGTTCATCTCAGTTACGAACGCGATCGCCAACAACAGCCGATGCCCGTGGTCTCCGATGAAGCAGTTCGTATTACACCTGACGAAATTGGGGGGAAAGAAGGACCAGAAGAAAATTTCGTCGGTGCAAACGAAGAACGCCCGCGCTTTACAGAAACAGGATTACAGATACCGGGGTTCGCTGTCGCAGTACAGTACAATGACAGTAAAATACCTGAACCGAAAACCGTTCGACAAGCTCTTACGAGTCCTCACCGAGAAAAATGGCGCGAAGCCATGGACAAGGAGCTAGCAGCACTCAAGAATCGCGGCACATGGGATTTAATACCGACTTCAGAAGTAAAAAGGAAGAAGGTACTTACCGGAAAATGGGTCTTCCGCGTCAAGACTAATGCAGATGGGTCGTTTGAGAAATTCAAGGCGCGATGGGTCGTCCGCGGGTTCGAACAGACTTACGGCATCGACTACGAATTAACTTTTGCTCCTGTCGGCCGACATACAAGCGTTCGGATTCTACTTTGGTCCCTGGGATCACCCAGGGAACGGTACATATCGAGTACGGTACTGAACTGAAGGCTCTCAACTCAATGACCCCACCTCCAGCAGCATTGTTTGATGCAAGCACTTCTCAGAGTAGCGAGATGTTTTAGAAAGATGAGTACTGAGTACTTTTACCATTTCTGTAAGTCGATTAAGTTTAGTTAGTGTCGAATCATACTGTAGAAGATAAGTCCGTAGGATGACGTCAGCGAATAGCGCTCGTCATAGGACAGTCGTTTCAGTCACGCGAACAGTCGCACCTCTTCATTATCATCTAGGGCGCATAGCGCGATAGTGACGAACAGGTACATTAGCGAATAGGTACTTTTCGTAGAACTATAAATACTTGTTAGGTCTTTTCATTATTAACTTTGATTACTCACAAGTTCACGTACTCAGGTCATTCAACCTTGACCTTTACATTTTACAAGACTTCCGCTGTCTTACTAGTCTACCATTCCAGCAAAGATCCTGGACCAACACTTGAGGATTTGCCAAGTGTTCGTGTTTGCAGTTTTATACTTAGTCTACTGCAACACCATGCATTTTATTTCAGTTCCTACGAGCCTCTTCCAAGGCAACCTCTTCCCAGACTCACGCGCGACCTTGAGAGCGTGTTCCCAGTGTTAAAGTAAGAACTGAATAATGAACTAGAAGTAGAAACCTAGAACAAATACTAGTTGGTTGTACTCACTAGAAGCATACCCCAGTCTAGCCTATAACTCGTACACAGCTAATATGTATAAGTTGACACACCCCCTAGGCTAAACAAGGGGTGAAGCGCTAAGCAAGAAGCAAACAGCTCAGAGTGACACTACTAGTCCAACCACTGAGGCAGGGGTCTGGAGACCAGTCAGCAAGGGTACAAACAAAACTAAAGCAAGCCAGGGCGGCACTACTAGTCCAGCCACTGGAGGTAAGGCCACAAGGCCAGTCTGACGAGCATATATAATAGAGAGTACACAATCAGGATCCTAACAGGTGAGTAGCTACAGGAACAAGACCAAGCTGTACACAGTGCCGCTGATGATCTTTAGGCGCAAGGGCCTTAGTAAAGATATCAGCTGTGTTGGCACCTGAGGCCAAGTGAACTACGTGGGCCTGGCGGCGCTGCTGTAGCTCGCGCAGGAGGAAGTACCGCAGCTGGATATGCTTTGCTCTGCCCTCAAGCCGAGGCCCCAGACACAGGAGTATCATGGCCCTGTTGTCAGCGTACAGGACCGGGGCAGAGCTAGGCTGCTCACCTAAGTCTGTGAGCAAGATGGTCAGCCAGCGGAGCTCCTGTGCCGCCATGGCACCCGCGTAGATCTCAGCCTCACAGCTGGACTGAGCCACAGACGACGAGCGAGTGGATCTCCAAGAGATAGCACCCGAACCAAGGCTAAAACAGTAGCCCTGCGATGACCTGAGCGTCTCAGAGACGTCTGCCCAAGAAGCGTCTGTGTGCCCAGTAAGGACCACTGGCCTGCGTCCTCCTAGCACTAACCCCATGCCCGATGT